AAAAAAAAAAAAAAAACGCAGTTACTTAACAATTAAATTCTACAATTTTTTAATCATTTTTTTCTCCAAAATAATCCAGAAAACGCGCGAAATCCCAGATCTGCGCGATCCCAATTTTTTCAAATGTTTCATCTAAATTTATTATCTACGCATACAGCATTAAATTTTTGATATAACAACCGATAAAATATCACAGTCCAATATCTATACACTATAAATCTTAAATATAAATCTAAAAATATTTTTTACACTACGCACGAATTAATAAATCTACGTCAAATTTGTTATCTACGCAACATTAAGTTTTTGATATTTATATTAATTTTATAATATTTAAATGTAATTACTTCTAATAAAGTAGTATTTTTATTTTTTTTATTTTTTTATATATTTCAATATATTTTTTTATATAATCTCCGCAAGAAACAGTCGAAAGTGTACGAAAATTCGATTGATCTATCAATGTACGATCTACGTGACCGTAAGAAATACCCCGAGAGTTCAGTTATGCTGAAGACGAGCAGCAGAAGTTTTTCTAAATAAATGAATTCGAAGCTCAAATTTCGCAGAAATTAACTGATTAACACTTTCGTAGTGCAACCAAAATCTTAATCTTAAATTTCTTAATTTCTTCATCTCGAGAATCTTATTAATTTTTCGTCGTCCAGCAAGCACACGCTATTTGCTAATTTCCCCGAGCGTTGCGCTTCTTGTTTGCAAGAAGCAGTCGAAAACTCGGGCGATCAATGCAAAATACACGATCCACGTAAGAAATGAGAAGCCCGAGAGTTCAGTTATGCTTCACTATCTGATAAATATGTGCACGCAGGCCGATACACGACGAGCAGCAGAAGTTCAGTGGACAACGGTGGCGACGTGAGCGAGTGTTACGACGTGCCACCGCGAGCTGTCCCCGTGATTCCATCGCCAGCCAGCAGCCCGAGTCCAGCACCGTCGTGCTACGACATCCCCAGGCCACCTACCTCCTGCACGCCGATCTCCAACTGCTCCGGTGGATCCGGCGTGACGCCTCTCGATTGCTACGACGTGCCCAGACCGTTGCAGCCCCTCACACCTAGCAGCTCGGCGTCCAGCCTCACCAACGATGGATCCCTCAGCGGATCGAACCGGTACGTGATCCACGGACGATATACGCTGGCTAGACAAACCAGGATCTTTCACTTTATCGTCGCTTTGAAGAGAATAGAAATAAATGCAAAATTTTATTAATCAAGCGTTTGGTTTGGTTTTGTTTTGTTTTGTTTTGAGACCGTGCACACCGGTGTATGGTTAATTCTTTCTTTTTTTTTTTTTGGTGCTTCTTTGAAAAGAATTTTTAATTTTACTGGTATTTACAGAACTTAACATTTTTATCTTTTTGACAAGCCCAATCTTTCATAAAATCTAGTTTGCGGGATAAAGGTAATTCATTCAGGCTGCGAATTGACACGTTTGTAAGTAGAACAACATTGTATTTAATTATATATATATTATTCGTAAAAATATTTTCATCAATCTCTGTTTTAAATCGTTATATTCTTTCATGAATTACCATCAACGTTCGATTCGATAAATAATGAGTAACACTGTCCATATTTTTTGATTTTAATTCTCAACACTAATAGTTCAGGCAAAATCTGCCTGAATCGATACGACAGGATGTGACAAGGACCTGAGAGCCTCGAAATCGTGGCCGAAAAAATACATTGTCTGCAATGTCTATTCATATAGATCTCTGTGGTATAGTCACCGTTAGTAGCGAAAGGGTTAACATTCCTACGAGACAGTCCAAGAATAATTGTGACAATGCAATGCTGAAAAACAGAGACGTGGTGCCTCGTCTAATCAACAAAATCTCTGAATAGAAATTGTTCACCTGTATTTTGAGGATGAACCTTGATACTGAATGAAAAGATGTATCGATCGAACGGGACAATAATCTAGAGATCTATGTTACGTTTATTATATTTCAAAATAATAAGATACGAACAATTTTATTTTCAAACACGGAAACTACTCCTTTTTTTCTCGGTTTTACACAGATTTCTGGGATGGGAACATTTTTCTGACATTTTTCCAATAATCAAGATGTAACACAGACGATCAGCTGTTTCTCAGTATTGCCGCCTTTATTAATGATCTATCAGGTGCAAAGCGTAATGCATGTTTGAAAGTTATGCAAAATGAAAGTTATGGATTAAAGATTACAACGAAAATTGTGAATCAGAAATTCTTATATTCACCTTAGTTTCTACATAACGAAGAATTATTGTCAAATTCACTCGGACATAAAATCAGTGAAATAAAAAGGACGTGGACATCTTTACATTTGCTTTCGTAATAATATAACAATATAACATAACTTAAAATTCTTAGAATGCTTAAAATTGTTAGACGATTGTAATGAAAAATGCAACTGAAATTAGATGGTAGATTCCCTTTGAAGTTTTGGTATTTCGTTTCGTAGCGTGCTTTCGTTTTCGTTTACGACAGCTATCTGATGACTATATCGAGGCATCAACATCCAGTACGTTGAACTTTATGCGTTCCGCTAGCGTAACGAGACATACAGCTGCTAGGAAGTAATTTATTTCGAGAAGCATGAGCTTAAATACCGGACCGGTGCCAAACAGCGGTCGTTCCTGCTGCAGTTTCGCAGAAATCGGTTCCATTTACAGCTCGCGAAAGAGTCTACAATGGCGCTCCGTATTTTACGATTTTCCGTTGGAATACATTTTGCAGCGACAAAGAGAAGAAAAAAAAATCTTATACCGTCGGAAGCTGGTGACGGCGGAAAAATTACATGCAGTGCAATAATAAATCCATCTACTGACTAAAGCTATTTTTCCCGTTCGCTGATGAGAAACCCTCTCTGCTTCCATTAAGATCAGTTCTTGCTCCAAGTCAATTTTCTCAAAGGCAATTTTCATCGAAATTGATTCAAGTTACGCGAATGAATCTAAAAAGTGAATCATAAGATTCTCTTCTAGTAAGAATCCGAGAAGCTGAAAGAAATTTGAAAATTTATCTCCACGTGCGTGTAGAAGGAAATATATTATCGAATCTGACTCGACCATAGAGACTATGTCAACGGTAAATATTTAACAACGAAGAAAGTTCGAAAAAGTAAATTTGCAAAAGCTGAAATTTATATCCTTCGTCTCCCGACGAAATTCTTAATTCTAGTTCTCCCGCCCATTTTACTTGGGGGAGTCTTACTATTCAATTTCGAATCAATTGAATTCAACTCCAATCGAATCGGAGAGGATTGCTCGACTTTGACGATAACATCGTTAACCGTCGTTTTTAATCACTCAATTATAGGAAGTAGTTCGAGAGACGCGAAAGTTTTCGAACAGTTCATTCGGAACTGTTATTTCTATTCTATTTCCCTTTCATCGGCACTGATTAATGGTGCTCCGTGGGAGTGTTCTCCTAATGGTTAAATGAATAGGGAACTTTGAAAACGAGCTCGGGATCAAATGGAGAATACGCTTCGGATGGCTTTTCAAACGGTCAGGGTTTTCAGCGATGAAATTCACAGGCTGGTTCTCGTTTCTCTTTTGTCTCGGCGAAAATTGAGTACATCGTCTCGACGGTAGCAGAAAAAACAGAAACAAGTTTCAACGCTCGAACGAATTACTCGGTGTTGCATTAGCCTAAATATTTTTCCAATGAGATTCTTAAATAAACCACTGACGAGCAAATACCAAAAATGATGTTCCAGTTCTCTTTAAAAATTCGATTCTTTTATTAAGTATAAATGGATATGTGTATGTGACACCTATATATATATATACTATGTACTATATACTATATATATATACACACATACACACACCTATTTACATT